GATTTTCCCGGACATGTCCGGCTTTTTGGGAATTCCTCCTGGACGGGGATTTGAGGCCCAAAAAGCCGGACATGTCCGGGAAAATCCGGATGTATGGTAACCCTACGATAAATCCTATTTTTTTTTATCATTAGATATCAAATACCAGTCCTAAAATTTATTTCTGTACTCAATACAGATTCCAGAGTGACTGCAATTAAGTTAAATTCTGAAATACATCTGCAGTATGTGTGAATATATTCCAAACAGTGTGCACTGATCATATATTTATTCCATTTTAGAGTATGTTCCCATCCTAAACTCATGTGCAGCTCAGTATTTCAACAAGAATATAAAATTTTGCCTTGAGAGTACAAACTCTTTCCTCCTCAAACCACTACAGTGTTCCCTTAGAAAATCCTAAAGAAGTAACTTGCAGCTTGACTGAAGGTCAAAAAGCTTAGGCTTTGTCAGTCAAATGAAGGTTTGCATTGGAGTGGGGAGAAGAGAGCAGCAGCAGCTTGTAGAGGCAAAAGTTAAGTCAACTAGTCTGGAACCTCAAAGCTTATATTATCACTTGGGCCCAAGATATTCCTTGCATCTCTCCATTGATTTCAGTGGAATAATTAGATGTGAATCTGGCCAAACCAGACTGCCCATCCCTAATTCAAAAAGCATTTTAGAAGGAGTCAGAGTTTGGGAATTCATTGACTGCCCATTTTGAAATTTCTGTTGAAAACCACGGTTCTCTGAAGAATGAATTATAAATATTTTACAAAGGAACAAACTAAAAATTTCACATAACGTGAAATTATTTTTGCAAACATGCTGCTCAACATCATTGTTCTAATTTCCCAATGCTATGTTTGAAACTATAAAAAAAGTCATTAGAATCTTATGACACTGGTAGCATGACATTAAAACGACAGAGATTTGTTATAGCTAAACTGTTAAAACCTGTTTTGTTACAGCATAGTGCCAGAGTAATTTAGAAAGCACTGAAAGGTATCGACATCAAACGCCATCCTTTTTTATTGAAAACCGTATTTAATATTGGAATTCAAGAGTCCTATATTTGAGGCATTAAGATGCGAATAGTCAATTGAAGATAAATACAGAAATTAGCTTGCTATGCCTTGTATGTTGTGCTCTGCGTTTGGGTAATGCACAGCATAGCTCAGCTCCAAGCATCCACCTGAACCTGGGAGAAATGTAAGTCTGTAGCATGGATGTTGCACTGCTCATGCTGTGCAGCTGTATTTCTATAAGGGATGCTAGGATGAGCTTCCAAGCACAGCTCCCTATTGCACATTAACATTACCTCTATATCTTCTGTATAATAAGATTCCAGGATTGTCACTCAGACTTTGTGTCACTATGAAGTGTAGACAGTCTGAGTCAGGGTGAAGAGAGCACTTTTTGTTTAAAATATCTCCAGGTTCAATCATCGCTGGGATTTGTAGTCTGTTACGATCCAGTGTTTAAGTTCTCAGCCATTTTCATCTTTTTTTTTACATTTTATGAATTGCACCCATGAAACATCATGGACTTTCAACTAATATCTTTTGTAAAATAGTAAGTATTTAATTTTCCTTTGACACAGTACTTCTCTGACACAACTGCCTCTAATTTCAGGAAAAGAAAGAGAGGAGAGACCAGATTGAGAAAAAACAAAAGAAGCTCCAGGTTATCCTTGAGGATGAAACCCCTCCTCCATGGAGTCCACCTGGCAAAGCTGTGTCCTCAAGGAACTACTGAGATGTCCATTGTCCTTTGTGAGGAAAATTCATGTCCAAAGTTCTGACATTGTCTAATCATCAATATTTCACAACTGACTTTAAAGTGAATTGATACTGGCTCTTGCATCCTTTCTTTTGTAGGGTGATTATTTTTAGACTCCTCAGTTGGAACAACTGGTGTATGTGCTAAATAGCTCAATTGTTCTTTTCCATTACATTTCACCAAAAGATTAATTTGTGTAATTTTTTTGCATTTAATTTCTTGGTTAAACTTTGTCAGTTGGCCCCTTTTGGTGAAAATTCATGTTCAGGACATGCAGGGCCAGACTCTAACACACCCTTCTTCATATGAGTAGCACTTTACCCCACAAATGGTGCCATTGAAGTCAGTGGGCCTGCCTGTGGATTCAGCCTGAGTAAGGATGCCAGAATCTGGCCCAAAATGAGTGGTCAAGCAAATGCTAGGTATGTTCCTATACGAAGTGCAGGGTGAAGAAGTAGAAAATATTTTAAACCATCATTCAAACATAGCTTCAGAGCCAAATTATTTACAAACTGGTAAACAATCCCTGAAGATTGGCAGGGGGAATAAATGCACTAAGCAAAAGGAAAAGAAAAAAAAAAACAATCCTGAGGCTTTTACTGTATGATGAGACTTGCAATGTGCAGTTGTACAGAATGCATGGATAACTTAGACTTTTGTAACAGCACAAATATCTGAGGTTTTTTTCAGTTCGAGTTTAAAGGACTAATAATGCTAGCCCCAGAAAAGGATCATTCAGAATTGTCCTGACTGTATTTAACTGAAGTAAACTTTGTCCTTGTTGAATCAATGGTGCCAGGTCTATTCTGTGAAGAGGGCCAAAGTATATTTTTATGATCCATGGGCCTAGCCTATAATATTAGGACTATATGATACCTTGAGCTGCAGTAGAGCTTCTACTGATGTGCAAAGATTGATGCTAAGATATGAGCCTTTTGTAGGAACTAAACTTTTTAAGGCTAAATTCCATTCTCAGATACACTCAAGTATGTGCACAGTAATTTCATTCACTGTCCGTATAACTGGATTTATTCCAAAGAATATGAGAACAGAATTTGCATCCTCTCATACCTGTTTTAGATTGTCACAAACTCAGAGTGACAACTTGGTAATGGTAATACCCCCTCCTGCACCCCAAGCCCCTGCTCCAGCACAGAGACCCCTCCCAGAGCCACCCCCCAATACCCTCTCTGGCACCCAAGCCCCAGCCTTGAGCCCCCTCCCAAAGCCAGCGCCCAATACCCCCTCCTGCTCCCCAAGCTCTAAAGCCAGCCCCCCATACTCCCTCCTGGAGACAGCACCTCATACCCCCTCCTGCACCTGAACACTCTGCCTGGAGTCCCCTCCTGCACCCAAACTCCCTCCCAGAGCTTGCACCCTTCACCACCTCCTGCACCCCCAGCCCTGAGCCTCCTCCCAGAGCCAGCCCCCAATACCCCCTCGTGCACTCCAAGCAATATTACCAATAACAGTAATATTACCATATCAACCAACAAAGAACTCAGAGTGTTCAACCGGCTGTGTCGGGTTGATGTGATACAGAAAGATTTAAGAGTTTAAAATTCTTCCCTCCTGGTGATTTTCCCCTCCCTGCTGAATTGTCTCTTTTCTTTGTTCCCCTTTGCAAGAAATCTAAAATACTCTGGGCCATGCCCTTTGGCTACATTGTTGCTCCTCATATGCTGATTCCAGAATACATACATAGGCTGTATTTGAGAAAGACACATACACTGTTGATAATGCACTTTAGCACTCCGTAAAACTTTTTCTTCCATCTCCCACAGATACCGAAAAGTAATGCATACCCCAGCTTCATTAGACTTCCACCCTAATACAAAATCTTAACAGTGACCCTAGGAGTGTTAAGGCAGAATAACTTCATAAATGTGTGGAATACATAATGATCAGATGTGCTGATCTGTTTATGTAAAAGCATAGGAGGTCACTGTTAAGAGTTTATATTAGAAGGTGTGTACGTCTTGCTTTTGGGTATCTGCTAGAGATGGAAGTGAAAGCCTCATGGAACATTGGAGTGCATTATCAATAGCTTTGGAGGCAATATGAAGTTTGAAAGGACTATCTCGTTAACTTTTTATTTCCTTGCTCATGTTTTGGTTGGCTGGAGTGTGTCCTGTTACATCCTTAATTGTCACTAAATATAGTTTTGTTTGCTAATTTTTATATTGGAGGACAGTTTTAAAATACAGCATACTATGGAAAGGAAGGATAGGTATCTTTGATATTAGATTGTACGCTGTGTCTATTTTTCTCTTCCTCTACATATTTTGTGTGAGTTACAGTTTCCTAAATGTATTAGAAGATTATGTTTTGCAGTCCATAGATTCAAAATCCATGTGTGGTTTCCTCCTCGGGAATTTGGCAAATAAATCTCTGGCTACAGTTAGTTGTGATTACATATGGAAATATGGGGAGATGTTTAACCATAATGCCCATTTTTTATTTTATTTTTAACTGAGTAATTAGGGAAGTAAAACACTGAGAAGATGCCGTGCTCTCTGGGAGAATATACTCAAGTGAATTTTATGTATGTATAATGCCCTATTGATTCCCTCAAGAACAAGATTTGCTGATCTTGGGAATAAACTTCACAGTGAGCAACATTTAGGAAAATGAAAAATATACAGGGAGCAGGGTTGATACATGACCACATCAAGATCAGAAGAATTTGAAGTAAATAATGCACAACCTAGACTAGCACATGACATTTAGGATGCTGGCTTATCTAAATAGTTTTGTAGTGTTCAGAAGCATGCTAGGCACTTAACAGAGTAAGAAAGACAGCTCCCTGCCCCATATATCTTAATTTTTTTATTATAGACATGACCGTACAACTGAGGATAATAACGAAAGGAGCAGAAACATGAAAAATTTATGGTAGTATCACATGGTATTCAGTTTAGGCAGGAGCACATCTTTATTTCTGTTTTGTTCTTTTAATAAGTCTTGTAGGTGATGTGATGGTGGAGAGTTTGTAGGGGGGATTTAAGTAGGAAGGTATAATGGCTGATCGCTCAAGAATAACAAAACATACTTGCATATGCTCTCAGCACTTCAAAAACCAAAGGATAACAATGTGAGGTAAAAAAAACCCATAGCATCATGGCTATGTTACCCCAAAAATAGGCTTTGGGGTGCCCATCGCCCCCTTAATCTGTCCTTTTCGAGGTATGGATAATTAAGGATAATTAAGGAAACCGCTTGGAGGACATGGGTATAACCTTCTGATAAAGTGCTTGATACAGGCAGTATTCTTTCCAAATCAAAGTATCGTTTTATTTAATATAACTAATCATCTCTACTACAGTGTAATCTAAAAACATGAATTAGACACAAATCCCTTGTTGCAAGTTAAAGAGCACTCAAACTGCAATAGCAAACACTGTAAACTATTCTAAGCGGTGCGCTCTGCCACCGATGGTCAGTCTGTAACAGATTGCTAACAACAGTTCTTAAATTGTACTCTAGGTTTTACATAGGAAAATTACAATTAACACGCACATCTCAAACATGCACATACAAAAACTGTCCTCCTCTATACTATAATTAAAACCTAGCAAGCTTACACTATCCATTGATTCCAGCTGTTTGTGTGCTGTTGTTGATGCTCTGGTCAGTCAGTCAGCTCTGCTTGATCTTTCAGCTTTTCACTTCTTTCCAGTAGTTCTTCTCACTAGCTCCTGACTTCCAATCTTTGTCTACTGGTTGTCTGCTTTTTATACTGTCAGACCTCTATTGAGAATTCTCGCAATCTAAACATGGTCTCATTCCTGTTTATTGAGCATGCTCAAAACATTACCTCATTCTTAGCTACTGGACAAAGCTGCTCCAAACCATCCCAGGCTGGAGCTGTTTGTCCTCTCCCTACCCTTATACTGCAGGTGCTCATTGCCAAGAATTGTCTCATTCTGCACATACTCACTTGTGTTGTTTTATCTCAGAGCCAGGATTACCTCGTCTGACCTTACTTCTCATGCTCTAGTTCTCCATTACTTTGTGGCCATACCTCATTTAGTAACCACAAAAACAATGTGGAGTCTGGTGGCACCTTAAAAACTAACAGATTTATTTGGGCATAAGCTTTTATGGGTAAAAAACCCACTTCTTCAGATGCAACATTTAGTAACCTACATTCTACTGGGCATGCTCAGCCCAGAAATACTTGTGGCCATACCTCATTCTACTTGCAGCACTGGTCATGTGACCTAAAGCATCCAACGGTATGTGACCTACAGCTTCTCAGTAGTGAAGTGACTCCTGCTTATTCAAGAAGGAAGCTAGGAATACAAAATGGAGATTAGGAATACAAAGTGGAATCTGGGGAATTTCTCCAGTATCCACTATAGAGAGCACACTTCTACCATTGATGAAAGAGAAGTATTATCGACATGCAAAGGCATCTATAGTCTGTCAAGTTCAGTGTTTCAAATATTATGGTGGACAGTTGTTAGTCTTGTATAATTTATCTTCTAAGTGCTAGTTCAAGTTACAGGTTGACATGTACTTGGCAAGAAAAATCTGATAAAAGTATAAATAAATGTACTTTAACCTGTATAAAATCTTCTCAATTTACCTTAATTAGGCAAATATTGTAAATATATTTATTTTTGTTGTACATAATAGGGGAAAATATTTTGATATTAAATTTTGTTTTGATATAGTGAAATCAGTGGTTTCATTTGAAATCAATTTATGAAATCTTACTAGAAACTTTCTATGTATTTAAATCAGCTGAGCAGTTTCAGTGAACATAAACCATTCTTTCACAATTGCTAATATTACAAATAGAACAGAGGGACAAATCCAGGTTTCAGATTTGGAGGCAGAACTCCCCTTTCATTCCATCCTTCATGCTAGGAGTCTAGGGTTGTTTGGCTCATTGACTCTATCTTCTGTTCCAATACAGAGAAACTGCTGTGGAACACCAGTGTTTCAAAGTTATGCATCTGGCATATGAGCAGCATCTGACTTATATTTTCCCCCAGGTATATTATTCATCAGTTAAGCTTCTAAATTGATCCATTAAAAGTAGAAATGAATGACCAAGTTAAATTATAAATGCTTTCCAAGCCACAGCAACCAAAAACCACCATGGTATACTGTCTCTGTGTCCCTACCAGTGCAAAGGGAAGGACAGACATTCCCTACCCTTTTTGCTACAGAACTGGGGATCTGCTCAGCAAAGGAAAGTTTATTAAAATCAACAAATGCACTGAAGGATAGAGCAGTGCTTGGGACAACCTCCTTTTTTTGTTTAAGACTATGGATAATAAACATGCATATTTATCCAAAACCCCCATTCTGGGTAAGGAAGATACTATACTGACACTTTTCCATCTTTCCCTTAAACTCTTCATAGATTTCATAGCATTTAAGGCCAGAAAAAAATCACTAGATCATCTACTCTGGCCTTCTGTATATTACAGCCCATTAAATTTCAGTCTACCCATTTTGAGCCCAGTAACTTGTGTTTGACTAAAGCACATTTGTTCTCTTCACTATTCTGCCAAGCAATAGCTCTAGCTATACTGGTGTGATGTGTTTTTCTTGAC